GATACCTGTACAGTGTCAGACTCATCTAATGACACGTTGATACCTGCACCATGTCATCTAACGACATGTTGATACCTGTACAGTGTCAGACTCATCTAATGACACGTTGATACCTGCACCATGTCATCTAACGACATGTTGATACCTGTACAGTGTCAGACTCATTTAATGACACGTTGATACCTGCACCATGTCATCTAACGACATGTTGATACCTGTACAGTGTCAGACTCATCTAATGACACGTTGATACCTGCACCATGTCATCTAACGACATGTTGATACCTGCTCACGTAAGAACGGCGCCCCCGTGAGCAGGCTGCCGAGGGTGTGTCGATATTGATTAGGAATATTGCACTGTCAGCAGCTGATTGGTTATAAATCGATGAAATCAATCGATCCTCAGTAACGGAGATTTAGGCTTAACTACTTGGTGTTAAAAAAAGCAAATTGCGTTGTTTGATTAAAATCTCATCACTTGTTCCAGGATATCCCATACATTTTGCTTTGACCAGCGGTTCTTAACCTTTTAGGTTACCGAATTTCACCAGATTCATATGCGTATTCACCGAATGCTTCTTAATGGTTCTAGTATATATTCACTGACAAAATTCGATCGTAAATCTAATAGAGTTGGGTGTCTGTCGTGACCTCCTCTGAACCCCTGGGACTGACTCACCGAATCCCTGGGGTTCGATCAAACCCAGGTTAAAAACCACTGTCTTAAACTAGCAACTAACAAAGAATTGTGTGCGTTTGTGAAGCAGAGTTCATGTATTACCTCGGACTATAAATGTGTTGTATGGTTACCACCATACCCAGCCACCTGTGTGGTCAGCTTAATGGCCAGCCACATTTACTTGGATTTAGATTAAAGAAAGACAGCTACACTGGTTAGATGGGCTTATTGGGCTAGATACTAGAGTTGGAATCGTTTGGTTTAACAGATAGCACTACTACTCGACCACCACATACTAATTCAGGAATTCTGAATCTTACAGGGCTATAAAAACATTTATTGTAATTGGTCGGGTGATAGACTGCTCGACTGCTAACCCGAAAGTCTCGAGTTCGGTTCTCACTCTGGACTCGAGTCAACAGGACGTCTCGAGTCCTCCCAGCTCTGATAGGTCCCTGGCTCACGTTAGGGAAAGTAAAGGTGGCTGGTCATAGTGCTGACCACACCTTACCTTCATGTGCCGAGGTCAAGAAACTCTACTTCATCGGCCGTAGAGATCGTGAAGTCCGAAAGTTTAACCTTACTTTTTTATGGTCTCAGTACACCCCATCAACGTTCACTGTGTCAGTTTGATTTCAGTCAGCAATTAATATGCGTTTTATTCAGTCACAGTTGTTCAGTTGTTCATATTAGTTCCCTTATCTCCAGTGGGTCGCAATGTTGTTTTTTTATATTATCTCACGACGATCGAGTCTCGTTCAATTTGGTCCCAGTGACCCATGGAGAAAGGATCACCTTACAGACGTGCCCCACGGAATAACAAATCAGACCCGACCGGCGTACGGCATGTCTGGGGCGGTGGTGTCACCAAAAGCAATTAGTAAAAAAAAAATTTCCCTGATAGTCGCGATAGCACGTTGTATCCTGGTGTACACACTCTCTTATCAAAGGTGGGGGACCTTGATTTTTTTTGGTAGGAACCTGTATAGTGGAAGTAATGTATCAATATATATGATCAGTTTTATATATATGATCCGCTCACCTTTTTTTATAAAAGGTGGGGGGAGGGGCGTTGTTTTGTAGAAGTGAATTACTCATGTTAGAGATTGCACCGCTTAGAAATCTAGGTTTTGAGATAGTCGAGTTCAGTTGTATACTCAGGCCCTTGAATTACCCCATTCCCCCCCCCTCCTCTTTCCTTGCTTTTGTCAATCGTTGAAGCTTTAATCCTTATGTCAACATTACCATTTCACACTCTTAAAGATAAACTAATAGCTAGATGTTTAAAACCTAATAGCTGTTTAAAGAGGTTTGATTGTGTAAATATGTAACTCGAAGCTTATGAAAAAAAAAAAAAAAAAAAAAAAAAACTGTATAATTTGAAGTATTTCTAAGTAACTTTCTTTGTCAGTAATTAATATTTAATGAACCTAAGCACTAAATTTAGCGTAAAGCTTTTATAACCATATCTATTGTGTAATTAATATCTTTTTTGCTCTCCTGTAATACCGTTGAACGATTCACTCACCAGCGTCTATATTACGACCCAAGCTTATTTCCATCTTTTACGATCATAGCCTCCAATGGGAGTCTGAAACTCTCCATGATGCAGAGTCTTTTTTTTTTTCCAATTATTGAATCCTGCTCTCTTTATTGGACGGCACGGCGCGTAGATTATACAGCGAGTTGCATCAATGATCTGAGAACTTTTGTATTTAAATATAAAACAAAAAAATAATAATTTAATGTATCTAAAATTTTACATGCAAGTAAAAATATCTAGGTAATTATTAAAGCCATTTGATGAGTATTGTAATGTTAGTTTTGGTAGTTATTTATTGAATAGATGCGAATTGGAGTAGAACATATAGATGGAAAAAAAAAGAATTCCAAAGTGGACAACAGGCTTTAAAAACTGCTGAGCTATTAGTTCTTGGTTTGATACGATAAGCTAATCCGATTAGCTGGGGAATTCCGGTATCGGTCGCAAGCAGCGGCAGATTAGTGGCACTGGTAGAGGTTTAGTAGGTTTAGTTCATTATAACTGACTTTTTGGTTAACGAGATAAATGGCAGTGGTAGAGGTTTAGTAGGTTTAGCACATTATAAATGACTTTTAGGTTAACGGTATAAATGGCACTGGTAGAGGTTTAGTAGGTTTAGTTCATTATAACTGACTTGTTGGTTAACGGTATAAATGGCACTGGAAGAGGTTTAGTAGGTTTAGTTCATTATAACTGACTTTTTGGTTAACGGTATAAAAGGCACTGGTAGAGGTTTAGTAGGTTTGGTTCATTATAACTGACTTGTTGGTTAACTAGATTAGCGGCACTGGTAGAGGTTTAGTAGGTTTAGTTCATTATAACTGACTTTTCGGTTAACGGTATAAATGGTACTGGTAGAGTAGTAGGTTTAGTTCATTATAACTGACTTTTTGGTTAACGGTATAGATGGCACTGGTAGAGGTTTAGCAGGTTTAGTTCATTATAACTGACTTTTCGGTTAACGGTATAAATGGTACTGGTAGAGGTTTAGTAGGTTTGGTACATTTTAACTGACTTTTTGGTTAACGAGATTTAAAAGTATATTTTGCTTTGTACTCATTATACGTCACTTCTTTAATTAGCATACACATTAAATTGTATTGCTCTTCGCGTCTATAGTTGTCATAATGGTATATACATGTACACACATACATATGCGTGTACTCGTATGTATACTCACGTTATGTAAATGACGTTATCTTGGGGAAGCTAGAAAATTTTAAAATTAAATATGCATCACTTTTATTGACATATAACGTAAAAGAGTGACAGTGTGTCGATGATGTGTCTGACGGTGTATCGGCGATGTGTCTAAGATAGTTTAAAAAAAAAAAAAACTCTAACGAATCTGTTCTCCTGTACGTCGGAAGTTGCCAGAGTTTGTTTTTGCCTTAAGGTCGTGTTTGAACGGCACTGAAGATTGAGTCCACGCTAACGCCCCCTTCTCCCCCCCCCCCCCCCCCTGCCATCTCCTCCTCTCCCCCCCTCGCCCATCACTTGTTATATTCGCTCGTGTCCAACATTAATACTGGAGAAGAAAAGAATGCCTAATTTGAGCTTCTATTCCTGGCCTGTCCTCCGAACATTGAACTGATAATTATCTTGTTCGAATATTTTTGAATTGTTTTTTTTTTACTACGTTAGATTTAGAAGTACCAATTTTTGGACTATGAAAATATTTTAAAAAAAAAAAGCAAGATTAAAAATTATGAGAACCTAGCCCAAAGTATTTTTATTTTAATTAATTCTGTTACGATAATGTAATAAAATGCTTAATTTGATTTTTTAAAATTATAATTCGATAATATTTTTTTTTTAATACCAAGACATGGATAATACAATTAAAGTTGCCATCATGTTACCGCACCCCCCCCCCCCCCCCCGCCTTCTAATGGAGATCTAATGGATACATTCGACACATAAGTATTAATATCTGTTTTATCCATGGTTTATTTAAAACTACTTAGGTTCGAAACCTACAAGAACCAAGTGCTATCTATTCATTAAAAAAGTTTTTCCTTTCTAACAATTTTTTTAATCTCATCATTTCATTGCTTTTATGTGTGTCAAAATAGCTGGCTTATAAAAATCCAAATGCAGTAATATTGTTTTTTTTAAAAAAAATAAAGTAATGGCTTTTTTTTTCTTCTTTTTTTTCTTCCTTCCCATACAAAACTCATCACGCGTCTTCTAAATGAATATCTATATTCGTTACATCTAATGTTTTTCGCCTATTATTGTTCTTGCCTCCTTGTATACATTTGTGTTTGTGAATAGGGAGCGCGAAACGATGCACATGTATAATTTGATCATGCGTCTCCCCTCATTTGATGTCCATTTACACCCTCCCCCCACAGTGACCTCCACTTATTAACGTTGATTTTATGTCCATTTCTCCCCCTACAGTGACCGCCGTCCCACACACACAGTAACCGCCGTCCCACACACACAATAACCGCCGTCCCACACACACAGTAACCGCCGTCCCACACACACAGTAACCGCCGTCCCACACACACAGTAACCGCACTCATTAATGTTGATCTGATGTTGATCTCATCCACTGTGACCCCACTCATTAACATTATTGTCCATTTCTCTCCCCCCCCCTCTACCCCCCCCCCCCCCCCACACATTGACCCTACTCATTAAACTTGATTTGTTCATTTCTCCCCCCCCCCCCCACAGTGACCCCACTCATTAACGTTGATGTCCATTTCTCTCCCCACCCCCACATTGACCCCACCCATTAACGTTGATGTCCATTTCTCCCCACAGTGACCCCAGACTTGCCTACGAGAACGTGAACCGCTATGTGGATGGCGTGGCAGTGCGGCTGCATAATTGGGAAATACTGGTGAAAAACATCAGGGGCTTTTATAAGGTGAGTACCCTTTCTTGTGGTGGATGCAGGGTGGGGGTGGGTGAAGTCCCTCTCTCCCCCCCCCCCCCCCCAGATTAAGGAGAGCTAAGTTGTGCACCGATTTTATTGGTTGGGTGTTTGTGCTTTGGGAAGGGGGTGGGGGCAGGGAGGGAGATGAAGGGATGGAGGCACGTGCCCCCAAGTTAAGGGGGAGCTAAGTTGAGTACCGATTTTATTGGTTGTGGCGGGGGTGGGAGGGCGGTCATTATATGAGGCACGTGCCCTCCTCCCTCCCACCCTCTGTTAAAGTGCGTTAAGAACGTGAGAGGGTGGGGGGTACGCAGTGACTGGATGAACGACGTGGGAAACAGTCAGTGTGGCAGTTGCTAAGTGTGTGTGTGTGTGTGTGCCAGGCGTTGACGATGTTTGTTTTGTGGTGTGAATGAACCTCGGTAAGCCAAGTCGCATGCCCTGGAATTGCCTGATAAAGTTGATACATAATGTGAATCTATGGCACTTGGTGAGAAGAAAAAAAAACATTGACCAATGAATATCCATAGACACGGTGAAGTAGAGATGGTAATGTACTCCTATAGCTAACGCAATAAAATTACTATATTACGAGACTACTATGTCAAATGAATTATGTGGACGCAATTACAATAGGGTTCAGTGAAAACTAAAAGATATTGGTTCGTTACACTAATAAGTCTGGTTTGTCTCCGTGTCGTCCACTATAGGCGCAAAGTAACGTAAAGACCAAAAAAGTAGTTCTTAAAAAAAGTAGTTCCGTGATGGTGCCTCAATCTACTCTTGCACCCCCTCTCTCTTCAGCGATCGCTCTGATTCTCATCAAATGTACTCTAGCTGGGGAAAAACAGTAAACAACTCACTCTACGGTACACCATTTTAAAGAAAACAGAGTTACATTAAGACGAAATAGTCTTAATCCGATTGTTTAAAACAAATATTCGTGATTTAAAAACAAATTGCATGGGCTGTGAACAGTAAAAAAAAAAAGAAATTAAGAAAGCTACATTTAGACGAAATAGTCTTGTTCCGATTATTTAAAAAAAATATTCCTGATTTAAAAAAAAATGACATATATTCCATAGTTTGCAAGCTGCATTAATTAAGCCAAATAAATAGTACGAGCCGGCCCGCGGCATAACATACGCCGCTATTTAGTTGTTTCTAATTTTCAATAATTCATAATTTGTGAATTCGACAGTACCAACGCTGACACTGAAAATATTTCTTTAAAACACTAGGAAGTAGCTCGTTAAGGACCAAAACCCCCCCCTTCCTTCCCTCCCCCCTCCTCCTCCCCCCCCCCCCTACGTTTAAAATCGTTGGCTCTGCTTGTAAACATTTAGAGTGAACACAGCTCACTAAAACCATGTAGGGGTGGGGAGGTAGGGAGAGCGTTTGCAGCTTGTTTTCTAACGGCTCGAAGAAGAGAATTATATATATAGATTGTTCCGAATGATTTAAAAAAATAAATTGCACAGGCTTTGAACATTAAAAACAAGCAATTTATAAAAGGGAAATAATTTCACCGCTTGCTTTTTTTTATCCTTGCCTTCGCATTAGCCGCTAATTAATGTTTATTCATCATTTTGTTTTCAGAAGCGTTATTAAAAAACGATAGAAACGCTTTTTTTCTATACCAGACACATTCATCATAATTTTAAAAAAGTTTTATTCATGATGTAATGCTTTGCGTTACAATTTTTGTAAAAACATTAGATAAATATACTCTCCTCTTCCCCCCCCCCCCCACCCCCTCTCACCATGATAACGTACTTTATTTTTGTCTGTCACCCTTTTCGTCGCCTTAACCCCCCTACTCTTTCCCATGATCAACAAATTCAATTTGTGATCCCCACTATTGATTTACGCGACAGTCTGTTTCTAGCGGTGACAGTTTTGTAACTCTAGTATCGCCCAGATTTTTGTTACAGAGAGAAATCATAGACACATTTTTTGGTACCCTGGAGAATAGGCTAGAGTTTTAAATTAAAAATAAATATCTATAGAAAGGCTCGTATTACTGAGAGAGTAACAGTCAAAGTGTTACACTTACATGAGGGTTACTGCACAGGACAGAGTGCTAGAAAATATATGTGATGATCTGTGTATTGGACATATGACGTGTGCATACACACACACACACACACACATATATATATATAGATATTGATATAGATATATAGATATATATACATATAAACACATATGTATATATATTATATCCATATCCATACATATAAACACATATAAACACATCTATACATATATATATATAGGGTATATATATATATATATAGGGTATATATATATATAGGGTATATATACATATATATAGGGTATATATATATATATATATATATATATATATATATATATATATATATATATATATATATATATATATACACATACATACATATATACATACATACATACATATATACATACATATATATATATAGGCCTATATCAATTTTGTGATTCGATTTTACCCAATAATACAGCTAGTTGAATTGTATTTGCTTCAAGTAAATACACGTGTCGATCCCACTTTAAGTCTTAAAACAACTAGCACTATTTCAAGACAGTATAGTCAGTATAGTATAGACTCGATAGAGTATAGAGGGTCCGGCTGTATCGGTACCAGCCGAGCCTAAGGCCAGAGGACAGAATAATAAAAAAAATCGAAGACAGTGGTAATAAACTGTAATGATGACCCCTGTAAATCAATGGCCGTTTCTCGGCGAAGTTCTCGAGTGCCGGCCAAGTGGACATGAAGGATCCTTCCAGCGTCAGTCTGTTGACGCGGCGACTTGGATTGTTAGCTAAACCTACGTTGATGTTATTTTATTTTTTAGAAAGTTGTTTGGGGCTCGATGTACATTTGAGTCAGGATATGTTTTTAGTTTTTTACTCTCTTGGTACAGGAAGTAAACTCTTTTCAATATTTGGTACTGTTATCACAGTAAAAACATTGACAAATTTATAGTACATTAAAAATATTTTTAAAAAAAAATTTACATACTGTTGTTTCAGTAAGGGGTCAGCCATTTATGAAGTCCACAAATTTTACCCCCCCCCCCCCCTCTCACAAAAATCCAATTATTTTCCCTATACAAGTCCATACGCGTCCGCAAAAGTCAATTTTTACCCCCCCCCACCCCCCCCCCCACCCCCAGTAATAAAAACAGTTTTTATTTTTGATACTCTTATTACTTCAAGAATAACATTTCTTATGTTGAATACTCTTATTGCAGTGAGATAATTATTGACCATTCTACTAAGATTTAGCTGATATACAACATATCACACCAACGGTTCCCCTCTGAGGGGAAAAAAATTGCAGTGCCCAATGTATATTTTCTGTGCGCGATATTCTAAAATCTTCTTCAATGATATAAATTTTAATAAATTACTTCAGCCTTAAAACTACTATTAACGGGTAACATGGCTCACCACCCCTACCACACCATCCCCATTTTTATTCTATTTTCATACGTTTTTTTTTTAAAGTTAGTCTGGACTCGGGCCTTAAAAAAAGTTTTTACAATCTTATTTAAAAGCGACGTGTAGAGTGATGATATTTCGAACACACAGTTCAATTTGAATTGATCGTTTATTAACAATCGATTTGTACCGAATGCTCCCAAAGGGAATGAATGAAAATGTGAAAAACCAAGAAACGAGGGTTTCACAAATATCTCTTTCTGCCCTAACCTTCGTCAGTGGATTTTTTTTTAAAAACTAAAACAAACAAAAATATATTTGCATTTCTTCGTTACCTAGTAGAGATAAGTCATTGGTAAATCGTATATTTTGTTTTTTATTTGTTTCTCTTTATCGAAATTGTTTGTTTTTTCTTAATTTTTTTAAAAAAAATCTATGGTTTAACGTTAAAATAGAAACTAGGTTTAAGTACGTTTTGGATCGTTACATGAAGACGATCAGACTTTTGGAACACTCTCCGGTATGTGATTCACTGTTACAAGCAAGTCTGGCGCAGAGTTAGTTCCCTGTTGTAAAGTTATAGTCAATTGTAGTGTATTGTATGTCTTCAACATTCTACGCCTGCATTGAATGACAGTATCGATATACACGTTTTTTTTTATGAAGCCTCAAAATATATCTTCAATACAACGACGGTGTGAGGTGGTGAGGGGGGGGGGATAATAATCCAGAAGGTTCTATTTCTACTAGAATCTAAATATAGTTGACGAGAACACCACGGGAGACTGCGAGATCCTCACGACTGTGCCATTATTACTGTAGACTGAGAGAGAGAAAGAACAGTAGTGCTAGGTCTATACTGTGATTTACGGCACCTTCCCATGACACGCTGTTTTTCAATCTTTTAATCCTCCCCTTGTGTTACGCACAACTCTGGTACCGTTCTCCACCAGAACAGGCGTGTGTATTTACTCGAAACTTAGGTCGATACACACGTACACATTAAACAGTGACCGGCGGTCGTGATCTGATCGCCTATTGATTATTAGTCACCCAAAGATCAGTTCTTATTTCCTTCATTGAGGAAAGTCCTGGGCGACTTAAGGGAAGTGTAACGACTGGGACTAAGATTAGTGTGGTGTGGGTGGGGAGGGGGGAGGAATGAAGACAGAACTGCTCGGGTTAACTGGGTATTCAAACAAGGAGGACGGTCCTAAAGGGAGCGAAGCGCCGATAACTGTCCCTGGGGATTAAGGGCCCGTTTTGTTATTTGCTTTGGGAGGAGGGTGCGTGGGGGGAGGATATAGAATAATACAGTGTGGTCCCTTTTGGCCATCAGTGGCTGGCTTCTTTTCATTTGAAGGGAAAATAAATAAAACGTATTTTGTGGTAGGTCCAACGTTGTGGTACAGAGAAAATAAATAAAACGTATTTTGTGGTAGGTCCAACGTTGTGGTTCAGAGTCTGTTCTTTCCTGAAACGAATAGCTACACAGGCGTGATCAATAGTATTGAATGTGGTGTTGGTACCTCACTTCAAAC